GCGCCGACGTGGGGCCCTCTTGGGGTGCTCCAGGGCCATCTTGGACGCTTCCTTGGGCGTCTCAGAGGCCTCTTGGGCTGTTTGTGGGCCCTCTTGGGGCCGTCTTGGGGGCCTCTTGGGCAGTCCTGAGGCATCTTGGAGGCCACTTGGGCGCTCTGGGGGCGATATTGTTGGGGCCGTCTTGGTGGCTTCTTGGGCGGACTTGGAGGCATCTTGGCCCCTCTTGGGCCGTCTTGGAGGCCATCTTCGACCATCTAAGGCGGACTTAGAGGCCATCTTGGGCCATCTTTGCCGTCTTGGAGGCATCTTGGAGTCCATGTGGCGCCATCTTGGGCGTGAAAGGCATTGACATGTGCAGTTTCTGGGGGGCCGGCTCGCTGGGCCGGGCACGCCGAAAGGATCCAGCACGCCGGGCACCCCGCTGGCAAGCCAGCAGGGGGCGGCGGAGTTAATGGCCTTCGGCCCATCCCGCCACCGGGCCTGGATTGTGGGTCTGAGGCTTCGTGGACGTTCGTTGAGATCTCATGCGAGACCTCTCGGGGGCCTCTTGGAGGCAGTTTTGAGGCATCCAGGGGGCCGCTTTGTAACCTCTTGGGGTCGTCTTGGGGCCTCCTGGGGCCCTCTTGGGGCCTCCTGGGGCCCTGTCTTGGGGCCCTCTGGGGCCGTCTGGTGGGCATTAATACTTTGTCGGAAATGTTGGTCGCGCGGAGCAGTGCCAAAGAAATGGCACGAGGCGCGTGTCGCCATGATTTTCAAGAAGGGTGATGTTGCCGATTGTGGGAATTATATGCCTATTGAATCGCTTCGCTCATTCCGCCGGCCCGTATTGTGCCATCGCGGGTTCTTGGGGGGTTTGGGGAGCCCTTGGAAGCTTCGTGGGAGCTTCTTGGAAACTTTGGGAGGCCTCGTGGATGGCTCTGGGTGGGCCCTCTTGGTGTTCTCTTGGGGGGGTCTGCCTGGCCTCTTGGGGGCCTCCTGGGAGCTTCCTGGGGGTCTCTTGGGGGCCTCTTGGGGCTTTCTTGCGGCCTGTTGGGGGCCTCTTGGGGCTCTCTTGGGGGCTTCGTGGGGCTACTTGGGGGCTTGTAGGGGCATTTCGGGGGCGTGTTTGGGCGGGAGGCTCAAAATTTCCGTTCAGGTTGCCCCTGTGGACCTCAATCATGGGGCCGTCTTGGGGCCTCTTGGACCGTCTTGAGGGTTTCTTGGGCCTTCTTGGAGCGCTCTTGGGCCGTCTTTGAGCGGTCTTGAGGGTCTCTCGGGCCGTCTTGGGGTGATCTTGGGGGCCTCTTGGACCGCCTTGAAAGGTGTGAACGACGAAGAGGCGGATATGTTAAAAATTATCACTTTCCTAAGGGAATGAGACGGTTTTTGCTTGCGGGAGCCCTCTTGGGACGCCGCTTAGGGACCTCTTGGGGCGTCTTGAAGGCCTGTTGGGCCGCCTTGAGGCCATCGTAGGCGCTTGGGGGTGAAATTTCGGCGTCTCCCGGCTCTCTTGGACCGTCTGGAGGGCTTCTCGGGCCCCTCTTGGACCGATTTGGAGCCCTCCTGGGCTCCGAAAAAGAGTTCTTGAGGGTTTCTTGGGCCTTCTTGGAGCGCTCTTGGGCCGTCTTTGAGCGGTCTAGAGGGTCTCTCGGGCCGTCTTGGGGTGATCTCGGGGGCCTCTTGGACCACCTTGAAAGGTGTGAAAGACGAAGAGGCGGATATGTTAAAAATGCATGTTGTCCTAAGGGAATGAGACGATGTTTGCTTGTTGGAGCCCCTCTTAGGGACGCCGCTTAGGGACCTCTTGGGGCGTCTTGAAGGCCTGTTGGGCCGTCTTGAGGCCATCGCAGGCGTTTGGGGGTGATATTTCGGCGTCTCCCGGCTCTCTTGGACCGTCTGGAGGGCTTCTCGGGCCCCTCTTGGACCGATTTGGAGCCCTCCTGGGCTCCGAAAAAGAGTTCTTGAGGGTTTCTTGGGCCTTCTTGGAGCGCTCTTGGGCCGTCTTTGAGCGGTCTAGAGGGTCTCTCGGGCCGTCTTGGGGTGATCTTGGGGGCCTCTTGGACCGCCTTGAAAGGTGTGAAAGACGAAGAGGCGGATATGTTAAAAATGCACGTTTTCCTAAGGGAATGGGACGATTTTTGCTTGTGGGAGCCCTCTTGGGGCGCCGCTTAGGGACCTCTTGGGGCGTCTTGAAGGCCTGTTGGGCCGTCTTGAGGCCATCGCAGGCGTTTGGGAGTGATATTTCGGCGTCTCCCGGCTCTCTTGGACCGTCTGGAGGGCTTCTCGGGCCTCTCTTGGACCGTTTGGGGCCCTCCTGGGCTCCGAAAAGGGATCTTGCCGGGAGTCTGCCGGGACCTTGCCGGGAGTCTGCTGGGACCTTGCCGGGACCTTGCCGGGTACTTTTCGTCCGGGGACCCCCAGGGCCCGTCCCGCGCGCGCGAACTAGAAATATTGTTGAGCAGTTACCGGAGATCTTAGCACGCCTCTGGCCCGTTGGGCCGGCGAATTGTTGCCGATTGTGGGAATTATATGTCTATTTCATTTCTACAGATCGGATATAAGCTGTTTGCATCGATGTTCTTGCAGCTGTTGATCAAAGCTGGTGCTGACGAGCGCATTTGGGACACCAAATTCGGTTTTCGCCCTGGTCGTGGCACCCTCGACGCGGTCTGCGTCGTCCGCAGGATCGTTGAGGAGGCGAATGCAATGCAGGATAAGCGGTTGGTGCTTCTAGCCCTCGATTGGGCCAAGGCTTTTGACTCGATCACGCCAGAGGCATGATGGCAGTCGTTGAAGAAATTTGGCCTGCCAGCCAAATTCCTACGTTTCATCGAGGCGGTCTACGCGAAGCGCTTCTTCTTTGTATCTGACGCTGGCAGGCAATCGGGCCACAGGAGGCAACGCTACGGAATCTGCCAAGGTTGCCCGTTGTCCCCGTACCTCTTCAGCATGGTCATGACGGTCCTCATCACCGACGCCAAGGAACTCCTGGAAGCATCTGGGACGCACTTTCCTACCAATACGTATGCCAATGATATCCTTGATGCAGACGACACTCTTCTGATCGACGTTGACATCGGCAGCGTAGAGAAGTACATGCACTGCGTGCGACGAGCGGGCAGCGTCTACGGCTTGAGTTTCAACTGGAAGAAGTTGGAACTTGTTTCCTCCACGGACGTAGCTAGCATCCTTGCGCCGACAGGCGATGCAATCCAACCGAGAGGTAAAATTGTTCACCTGGGCTGCACGATCACATATGAGGGGACGTCCGGATCAGAGCTCAATCGCCGAATTGGAGCTGGGCAGGAAGAATTCGATCAACTACGCCGCATCTGGTCCCATTCCGGAATTTCTCGCGCTAGAAAGCCGGAGATTTTCAACGCTTGCGTTGTCAGTAAGCTTCTGTGCAACCTGCACTCGCTGTGGCTGTCCACCGCGGAGACCCGGAAAATCGATGGGATTCAGAACAGATGCTTGAGACAAATCATGAATCTACCGCTTTCGTATCACAGCCATGTGACCAACGCCTCGGTTCTACAGCAAGCTGGTGCTCCGCGTATGAGCAGCATGCTGTTGGAGAGGCAGTTCAAGTTCATGGGGGCGCTGGCCAGGCGACACACGACCGACATAGTGAGGCAAAGCGCTTTCGACCCCGAGCGTTTGTCATTTCAGCCGGGAGCCGGCGGGCCAAAGACGCCGCGGCAGACCCTAAATTAGTTGGGCGAAGGGCGTTTTCAAGCACGCGCTTGCAGCTGTTGGCAATGAAGAGAGGTTCGACACACTGCTGAGCCACAGGCCACAGAGTGAGTGGGAAACCGTTGTGAAGGAGTACTGCCATGATGGCGGTTAACTTTTTCCCGTGCTAATGTGCCGCTTTGTGCACGCAGTCTTTTGCTTGCTTGCTGGGGTCGTCTTGGGGCCTCCTGGGGCCTTGTCTTGGGGCCTCCTGGGGCCTTGTCTTGGAGCCCTCTGGGGCCGTTCTGGGCGCCTCCTGGGTGGCCCGTCCAGGTGCCGTATATGGGCCGTCTTTGAGCGATATTTGGGGCCTCTTGGGCTGTCGCGGAGCTTCGGACAGCCAGAAATGAGAGAAGACCAAGATCCTTAAAACACCACTGGTTCATCAATGATTCTGGCTTTTGGGGGCCTTCTTCGGAAGACTCTTGGACGCGTCTCGGGGCGTCCTGGAGGCCTCTTGGACCGTCTTGGCGCCATCTTGGGCTTGTCGGAGCGATCCTTAGGGGTCTCGAAGACCTCTTGGATCATTTGAGGAGTCTCGTGGGGCTCTCTTGGCTTGTTTTGGGGCCCCCTTGTGCCCGAGCAGGTTACGTGGGGAGATGCGGAGGAGCCCAGGGGGCATGCGGCGAGCCCCGGAAGCTTTTTGAGAACTTTGGATGCGAGCCCTTTAAGAAGTCTCAGCGTCGAGGATTGAGGCTCAGAGGATTCGGCACAGAACCTGAGGGCACGCCCACTCCGTGCCGAAGGGCACGGTGGCGGATGTTGAGCCCGCGTTCATTTCCTCGGTCGTTCTGTGTTGGCTTACGTAATCGCCGTTCATGCCGTTTTACTGAGTGAACTCGTTGGTGTCTATCTGGGCACTTCGCGAAATTGTGGTTCCCCTGTCTTCGCCCTGCCTTTCCAGAAGAGCCCGGTATCTGTCACACCGTGTTTCTGTATCCCACATTGCGTGTAACATTCAGTTGCAGCAAGGCGTGGCGGCGCCAGGGGGGAAACTGGCCGGCAAGGCTGGCACTATGAGCATAGGGCGCGGAAAGCCTTTGTGCGAAGTCTTCGCCTCGCACCATTTCCAATCCTCCATCTCTTCTTCCCTCTCCCCTCGCCTTCGCGCTTTCCTTCGGTTTCTCCCTCCCCATCCCCTTTTGCACGTTCCTTTCAGTCTCTGCCTCCGCACCCTCTTCCGTGGTGGCGGGGTCGATTGATGTTGGCTGTGTTAGTGGTGTTGTTGATGATGGCGGTGTGGACAGAACCTCGGATGCCTCGCCAACCAGTTCGATGGGGCCCAGCGGATTCACGAACCCGTGGCAAACGGATATGACCAAGGAGCTGGGTGCAAGGCCGTACCCGTCGCCTGCGACTTCTGGGGGGATCTACGCCATCCGAAAGGAGCCCACCTCCGCGCTTACGCTTCTACGCTGCGCTGAGTTGGTGCTCATCCAGATGTGTTGGGCTATGTCCCAGCTCGGCACAACACAAGGGCTCAAGGCATTGACGTTGGCACCAGCACCAGCATCGGCGGTCCGCTCCACCGGCCGACTATGATTCCCGACCCCGGTTATGATGGTATTGTTTCGGCCTTTTAGATTCAGGCCAACCTCTGGGTCATTCATTCTCCCTCGCTGAATGATACCGCCGAGGTTGGTGTTGGTGCAAACCTCCAGACCTTCAGCAGTGTGTTTTCCTAGCCTAACTCAAACAGCCCTTGCGTGCTGTTCAAGAGGTTTACACCCATCCGCCGACCCCAGGGATGATGATGATGATGATGATGAGGAGGAGGAGGAGGAGGAGGGAGGAAACGGATGATACCAGGAAGGGATGACCAGTCTGGGCCAACCGCCTCATTGCCAGGGGGCGTGTTGGAGGGTATTTGGGTTTACGTTGGCGCCGCTTTATTGGGACCTTTCTGCGTTCTGTTGGGGAGCGTGTGGGACTTTTTGAACACGTATTTCTGGGCGCGCCTTGTGAGTCTTGCGGTTGGATATGAGAGTCTTAGAGCCACCTTGCGGCATCGAGATGTGTTTTTGGAGTTGTCTGCTGGGCTATGTTGGGGGCACCAGTGGCCGTTTGAGTGGACGTGTGGATCTTCTCGGAGTCTTTGGCGGCCCATCGTCAATTTCTGAGGGACGTTTGTGAATTTCTGTCTTTTGGGTGCACTCCTTGGGGCCAGGTTGGAGCCTTTGGGGTCCTCTAGGCTAGACGAGGGCCAGCTTGGAGGCCATCGTGGTCTATCTTCGGCCTTCTCGGGCCTGGGCGGTCTTTGGATCATCTATGAAGATATCCCGGGCGTGGCGAGCAATTCGGGGAGGCTCTGAGAAGCTGGGTAGGGCCCTGATGAGATCGCGGGGTCCCCCCAAAAGGAGAAGAAGCAGAAGGAAGGAGGGAGACGAGAACGGAAGAGAAGCAGATAAGCGGGAGGGAGAGAGAGCGCGGGTGACGACGAGGAGACGAGACGACGACCGCCGCGCCCGCTGCTTTTTGTGATTTCGGGGAGGGGACCGAGTGAAGGTTCAGCCGGTCACCGCGCACGCCTCCTCACACCCCGGAGGCGGGGACGGCAGATGCGCGTGGGAAACATTAACATGCCTGTTATGGCGCCGCTGAGCTCGTTCTTGTTTGTTCGCCCCTGAGGAGCATCTTGCCATCATTGCCTGCTGGATTCGAAACGATCCAAGTGGGTATGGAAAAATTGACAAATACCGACAACAGTTCCTGTCCATTTAAATTGGATTCGTTGTCTGCGTCGCCGCGGAAATTGTTCATTTGAGGCAGACGGCCGCCTGCCCAACAGTAGCCGCTGCCGGTTTCGGACAGCATTTGTTGTTGGGCATCGCGTTCATGGTTTCCGTATCCGTTTCGGGCGTCTAAAGTTTTGCCATCATTGCCTGTTGGATGTTGAAACAATTGTCAGGATGGTTCCATCTTCCCCCATCCCCCGTTTCCCCTTCCCCCCCTGGTTCCTTCCCAAGGGGTCATCGTTTCCTCTTGCTCGCTGGGCCAAGCACGTGACCTTCTTCCTGCTTGCCTGGTTCGACCCTCCGTGCTTTCTCCCACGCTCTCTTCGGGCCGCCGTTACTCATTCCAGCCGGTCAGTGGGTCGCCCTTCGTTGTTCCGATGCGCTGTCTTGCGCCGCGCGCCACCAACGCTTGCGCGCGCACAGGTGTGTAATCAGTGCTCGTGAGCGCACGCTCAGGGCGGCCAGTGGCATCCATCAGTCTTCGCAAGTCGAGTATGACTCAGATCATGTGCACGTTTGCCCCGTAGGCTCACGCACAATGCTGACTGGCACGAACCGGTTATCGTTCGACGTGACAGTACGCTTCCGCGTTCTTATAAGGAAGGGAGCGGCCTGCGCTGGACCGAGAATTTGTTGCAGAGGCATCTGACAGCTAGCACCTATGCGTGTGTGTATATATATGTATACATATACCGGAGTAGGCCAGGGAGGACCCACCCAAGAGGCTCCCAAAGCGCCCCAGGTTGTCCAGAAGATATCTGAAGAGCGCACTGAGATGGCCTCCGGACGGGCGACGAGCGCTCGAAGACAGCCCAATGTTGCTCCTGGACGGCCACGCAGGCGTTCGAGACGGTCCAAAAGGCTGCCGAGAAGGCCCCCCAAGGGCAAAGATCAAGCATTTCCAAAAGAAGAGCGTATATTTCGGAGATAGTCGTCCGTCAGTCCTAACAGCGGCCGCAACGGCCCCAGAGGCTCCCAAAATGGGCCTCAGACGTCCCAAGAGGGCCCCAAGACGGCCTGAAGAGAGCTTCAAGCAGCACAAGAGAGCTCCAAGATGGCCCATGAGAGTACCCAAGGGCTCCGAGGGGGCCACAGGAGGATCCATACATGGTCGGAGAGGACCTCACGAGGGCCCCAAGACGGACCTCCTCCAGGCACGACCTGTGCGAGGCATGCTCCGTCATGGGCGGGGCACGCCACGCAAAGCTGCCATTGGTGTAATAAGTGGGGCCCTAAACCCCTGCCGGCAAAGGCAGGGAGCGCTGCATGAACCGTGTCTTTGGGCGTTCAGGTCGCGCTGTACGAACCGCAAGGGCCAGGCGGGGCGCAGTGCGAATTTTGCATTTGGGGCCGCAGGTGGGGATCCCAGTGGGCCACGATCCGTGTTCGAGGTGTGCCGAAGTAGACGGGAGTGCGGGATGCGAGCCTTGTGTCCAGGGCCGTGCGTGGAACCCTTTGCGGGCCACGATCCGTGTGAGAGGTGTGCCGAAGTGAGCGGGGCGACGTTATGAAACTTCACTCAGGTGCCGCACGTGCAACCACTTGCGGGGCACGATCCGCGTAAGGGGCGTGCCACTATGCGAACCTAGTTTCTGGGCACATAGGTGGAGCTCCCTGTGGGGCGCGATCCCTGTGAGGGGTGTGCCGACAAGGGCGGGCGAACGCTAGCTAAGTTTGTCTCTGGGGCCGCATGTGGAGCTCCCTGAGGGCACGACCTGCTCGACAATCGATGTCCTCACTTTTTTACTACAACTAGAGCGTGCCATAACTCAAACGCGCGCGAAGCGTGCGCGTGGTTCTCGTGTATATTTATATATATACACATACATAAAGATTGGACTGGCGCTTCGCCATGCATCTTGACCCTTGAAGTTTGGTATGCAGGCGGAATGGCAGGAAGGTGAAACAGACAATTTAGCGATCATTCCTTGCTGTCTTCTCGGGTATCATCGTTGTGTTTACGTTCTTCGTTATCCTTCCTCCATATCTAGTTTTCCTCATTCTCGCCCATCCTCAGCTTTTTCTTTGAGGAAGCTCCTCATTGGAGAGCCTCTGGGGACCTCACGGAAGTTGTTCAGGCGTTCTTGAGGCCTTCTGGCGGCTCTTGGGCGTCTTCTGTGGGCCTCTTGGGGTTTCCTCGGGCCACCCCTGCCTCCAACCGCGGTCTCCCTGAACGACCGGGTCCCGATTGGAGCGCTTCGGAGGGCCATTTGAGGCCGTCCTGGAGATCTCTTAGGCCATCTTGGAACCCTGTTGTGCCGTCTTGAGGCTCTCTTGGACTGCCTGGAAGCCCTTTCGGATGGTTTTGAGGCGATTTTCGAGCCTCCCAGGCGGTCTCGGACGCCCAGAAGACAGAAGAACATGGCATTCCCCAAATCATGCAAGAACCTTGCAAAATCACTGCTTCTCTGCGTTTTGGAAGCCTCTTGGGCCCTTGGGGATCTTCTTTGGGTTGTCTTCGGGCGTCTGGTGGGTGTCTGGGGCCTCTTGGGGCCCTCTTGGGGCCCTCGGGGGGGCGTTCGGCTGCCCTCCTGACCGATTTGGGCCTTACGCCGAGGCCCAGCAAGGGCTTTCAGGATTCCTGACATGACAATATTGCTACGCGCGGAGCCTATTATGCACAGCAGCGACGACGACGACGGCGACGATGGTAAACAATGGTTACGACTTACTACGATACAACAACCATGGGATGCATTGGAAGAGAAATTTGTTATTTACCACAACACCGACCTCTAGCTCTGACCGGGCCCCGGTCCGCACGCAGCGCCCTTGCAGGGCCGTCCCCCCGTCGGGACGCACGCCGGCGCCTCGCCTCGCCTCGTCTCGACTTCCAGAAGCTCTGAAACGCCTGGGGGGCCTCCTGCAAGAGCGTCCAGTGGGTCCCCAGGCCCACGGATCCGGGGGGTTCAGAGGGTCCCAGGGGGTCCGATTTCGGGGAGGGGGTCCCGGGTAATGAAATGATCCTGGCGAAGGGCCCAGCCACCTGCAATTGAGGTACCGCATTATGAATAGAGCTTTCGGTGGAGCTCCTGTGGAGCCACGAAGCGTGTGAATGGTGTGCCGAAGTAGGGCGAGAGCGCCTTGCGAACCCTGCCACTTTGGCCTTCGGTGGAGCTCCTGATGGAGCCACGAAACGTGTGAGGGGTATGCCGGGATAGGGCGGGGCCACCATGCGAACCCTGCCATTGGGGCCTTCGGTGGAGCTCCCTATGGAGCCACGAAGCGTGTGAGGGGTGCGTCGAAAAGGGGCGGGGCCGCCACGCAAACCCTGCCACTGGGGCCTTCGGTGCAGCTCACTTTGGAGCCACGAGACGTGTGAGGGGTGTGCCGCCATGCGAACCCTGCCACTGGGGCCTTCGGTGGAGCTCCCTATGGAGCCACGAAGCGTGTGAGCGGTGCGCCGAAATGGGGCGGGGCCGCCATGCGAACCCTGCCACTGGGGCCTTCGGTAGAGCTACCTATGGGGCCACGAAACGTGTCATGGGTGGGGACCTTCAGTTGAGCACCCCATGGGGCCACGAAACGCTGCCCAGTGAGGGAGGAGGGGGAGGAGGAGGAGAGGAGAGGAGGAAGGAGACGCGGGGCGCTGTCTTTTCAAAACGAGGACCCAACACCATAGGCTGGTTGGGAATACATGCATGGTAATGTGTATAAGCACATATAAGCATATATCCATATATATATACATATATATATGTATATATGTAGATGTGCATGTCTACATGTATGTTGGGCTTCGTTTGCCACGCGCAGCAGAATCTTGGTCGAAGTCTCGGGAGTTTCTTGTTGGTTCTGGGCAAACGTGTATCACTTCTGGTTCCCAGGAGTGGTGGGACCACTTGGAGCTGTTCGACCCCGAGCTGATCCGCTGGGGTGGAGATCACATCGAAGCATCCCACAAGGTGGGCCTCTTGGCATATTCCCGCTTGACTGCTAGACTGCTCATGCCGCCTCTCCTGCTTCTGCGTTCCCCTGTTCTGTATTTTACAAAACGAATGCCCCAGAGGTCCTTCGGACGGCCAAACAGGCTTTTCGGAAAGCCCACGATACTTTTTTCTGTTCGGAAGGCCTAGAGGGCCGAAGTCCCAGGAGGCTTCTCGGGAGGCCCAAGAGATTTATTCGAAGGCCCAAGAGTGCTGTCGCAAGGTATTCTCGGAAGGCTCAAGAGGTGTGTCGGAAGCTCCACGAGGTTTTGCGGAAGGCCCAAGAGGTTTTTCGGAAGGCCCAAGAGGCCTCCCAGAAGGCCCAAGAGGTTTCCAGGAAGGCCCAAGAAGCCTCTCGGAAGGTCCAGGAAGCCTCTCGGAAGGCCCAAGAGGGTTCTCGGAAAGCCCAAGAGACCCTTTCGGAAGGCCCACAAGGGGAGGTCCCAGAGAGGCTCCACGGAAGGCCCAAGAGGGTTTTCGAAAGGCCCAAGGGGCCAGTCGGGAGGCCCACCAGGCCCCCCGGAAGGCCCAAGAGGCCGGTCGGGAGGCCCACGATGCCTTGTGGAAGGCCCAGGAGGCGTCGCAGAAGGCCCAGAGAGTTCTCGGGAGGCCCAAGAGGCCTTTCCGAAGGCTGCTCAGAAGGCCCAAGAGGCTTGTCGGAAGGCCCACGAGGCCTCCCGGAAGGCCCACGAGGCTTGTTGGGAGGCCCAAGTGGCCTCCCAAAAGGCCCAAGAGGGTTCCCGGCAGGCCCCAGAGGTTTCTCGGAAGGCCCAGGAGGCTTTTGGAAAATCCCCAGGGGCTTTTTGGAAGGCCCAAGGAGGCCTCTCGGAAGGCCCTAGAAGCGTACACCTGCAATCCTTCACATCAACGGTGAGGACACCTTAGAATGCTTCGACAGCCATTGACAGTGGGATTCAACTCATCTGCCGGGGACGTTCTTCCCCCGCCGCGCCCCCATTCTGACCCTCATGAAACGCATCCATTATTATTCGATCATCTGCCCCTCCTGCCCACTCGCACAATCATGTCCATGCTACTACCCCTCTCCTCGTCCCTATCCATCCCTCCTCCCAGCGAGGTGTGGCGGTGTGGAGGCCGGGTGGAGATGCATCCCTGTTCCAGGCGGGAGGGGTGGGCTGTTTGACAGGAGACACGGGTGAGCGTACCGAGGCCGATTCGATGGCACGTCGGACTGTTTTGCAGCGACCATGTGCACGCTGGCTTTGGCATGATGAGGAGGGAAGGGAGGGAGGGAGGGAAGGAGGGGGGTAGGGAGGGAGGGAGGGAGGGAGGGAGGGAGAAGGGGGAGGAGGAGGAGGAGGAGGAGGAGGAGGAGGAGGAGGAGGAGGAGGAGGAGGAAGGAGAAGAAGTGAGAAGTGGGAATACAGTCCTACGGCGGCACATTTGGTCCATGTAATCGGATCAGCGACCCTGCGAAAGGTTGATCCAGATCTTGCGACTGGAAATTCTCTCCAGGGGCAGGTCGCCTTTGTGCCAGACGCGCGAGACGGAGATTCAATCGGCCAGTGGAGAATGCTTGATCCAGTTGCCTTCAGCTCGCCTGTTTGTATATAGCCGCAGCTGTGCGCTCACCCTGACGGCACCTACTTAGTTACGTAACGGCAGGTGCGGCGCAATATCCAATAAGACGTAGAGGAGCCACCGAGAGGTTCGGTTTATGCCATCCCAGTCGGATCGCAGAGAGGCTGATGGCGCGGTTGCGGTCGCACTGAATGGCGCTCTGATGCTTGGGAGGATGAGGGGCAGACGAGACAAAACAACGAGACGGGGGGATCGGGGGAGGAACAGGAGGAAGAGGGGAAATGGACAAGTGAGAAAAGAGGGCGAATGAGAAAGCAGGGACGAGGAGGAGAAGGATGAAGGAGAAGAGGAGGATCTCGAGGGGGAGGATGAGGAGGAGGAGGAGGAGGAGGAGGGGAGAGGGGATGAATAGGTGGAGGAGGAGGGAGAGGAGGATGAGGAAGAGGACGATGACCATGTTGTTGATGATACTGGTGGTGATGACGATGATGATGGTGGTGGTAATGATGTCGATTATGATTATGATGGTGGTGATGATGATAAGACGATGAGATTATGGTGGTGGTGGTGAGCAGCAGAGGAAGGAGGACGAGACGGAGGATAATCATGGGGATCCTGTCAGGCCGCTTTTGCGCACTTTTGGGAGCCTCTTGGATCGTGGGACCCTCTTGGGCCGTCTTGGTGCTGGCTTGGCCCCTCTTGGCCACCTGGTGGTCTTCTTGGGCCCCTTCCTTGTGATCCGTGGAACAATCGCCAGCGTTTTTCCCTCGTCTCGGGCCCTGGTCCCTCATAGATCATCGATGCAGTTGCAAACGCATGGTGTAAGGGCGCGAATGATAGCTCTGGCGGTGTTTTTTTCCATCATTTCGTCGGTTGTTGGGGCCCTCGTTGTCGTCGTCGTCCTCTTCCGTTGGCAGTTTGGCTGATGTTTTCTTCAGTTCGCTCGCGCGATCGCGACACGCTGATCGCGTCGCCATGCCGTCCGCCGCGGGTCGCGCCGAGACGCCACCGACGGTCGCCCCGAAGACTAAGCCGACCGCAGTCGAGACGTCGCAGAACTTCGTTTCTGGAGGCGTGGGCAGGGGCTCCCTGTTCGTGCCGATCGTTGTGACGCTGTTGCCGGTGATATGCCAGCTGCTCGCGTACCTCACCTCCGAGACTGCAATAGCGATCGCAAACCAGGGCGTGACCGGCCTCGTCTCCGCGTGCTACACGCTGGGCGTTGCTTCGTGCGCGTCGTCGGCTGGTGCAGCGGCCCTGAGCGTTGCGCCGACCTGGGAGGCCGCGCGTTTCCTCGGCATATTCGCGGCGCTGGCGTACGCACTCGATGTGTTGCTGCCAGGCCCGGTGGAGAAGGGCCCAGAGACGTCGACTGGCCACGTGCCCACGTATGTCGACAACGGGTTGATCCATTGCTCTCTCTTCACCCTGCTCTTCGGACTAGGTGGCGCCGCTGGCTTGTACAACTTCGGGATATTTTATGACCTTTTCGTGCCCTCGATTGCGATTCTCAACCTCAGTGGGTACACGCTGTCCATCTTCCTCTACTTTAAGGGACTGTACTTCCCCTCGACGCGCGACTCGGGAACGACGGGCAGCCTGCTCGAGGACTTTGCGTGGGGGACCGAGCTCTACCCGCGCGTGCTGTGGGGCACGCTCGACATCAAGCGCTTCGTCAACTGTCGCTTCTCGATGACGTACTGGCAGCTCTCGGGCCTCTCGTTCGCGCTGAAGTCATACGAGCTGCACGGCGGCGGCGTCGACTACGGGCTGTTGTTGTCTGCGCTCTCGCAGTACCTGTACCTGTTCAAGTTCTTCATGTGGGAGATCGGGTACATGCGCTCGATCGACATCATCGTCGACCGCGCGGGCTTCGAGATCCAGTGGGGCTGCCTCGTGTGGGTGCCCGCCGTGTACACGCTGCACGCGCGCTTCCTCGTGCAGCACCCGTCAGGCCTGCCGCTCCCCGTCGCCGCGGTGATCTTCTCCATCGGCCTCACCGGCGTCTATCTGAATTACATTGCGGACGTGCAGCGGCAGGAGTTCCGTGAGCGGGACGGCAAGATGCTCATCTGGGGGAAAACGCCGCAATATGTGACGGCTGTGTGGGGCGGCAAAGGCGCAGCGCAGCGCACATCACTCCTCCTCGCGGACGGCTGGTGGGGTCCAGCCCGCCATTTTCATTACGTCTTCGAGCTGACTGCGGCCTGGTCGTGGTGCTTCCTCGCGAATCCGCTCGCGAACGGCGCCGTGCCGCTCTTCTACGCCACCTTCCTCACTATCCTGTTGCTCCACCGCGCGAAGCGCGACGAGGAAAAGTGCCTCGCCAAGTACGGCGACGGATATAAGGAGCTCATCCGTATCGTGCCCTGGCGCGTCATCCCAGGTGTATACTGATTGGGTGGTGGAGCGGGAAGAGGAGGAGGAGGAGGAGGAGGAGGAGGAATAGGGCAGGTGACGTGTGGATGGTCGAGGAGAGTGATGACGGGGCGAGACCGCCCCACGCCACCGGGGACGGGCGTGCCTACCATCCGCCACACTAGGCCTGGCTTGTTCTCGGCAAGCGTTCATTCGCTGTGTGCGAAGGCACAGGACGAATTGTTTCACATGGGCAGGCGTTTCGCCTTTGGATTTGTTTGGCAGTGCCAGTTGCCCGATCTGGGCCTACGCTGTCTCAGTAAAGGTGAGTGGCCTCGTCCTCCCCTCTTTCCTCTCCCCCCTCGCCCTCCGACTCGTCCCTCCTGTCCCTCCTCCCCTTCTCCCCTTCCTTCTCGTCCGCCTCCCCCTCATCTGCCTCCAACCATGCCTCTTCCCCGCCTCCTCCTCCCTCCCCTCATCATCCTCGTCCTTCTCTGCGCCTCTGTCTCCCCTCCTTCTCCGTCTCTTCCCTATCCCTTGGACATGCCCTGGAGGGACAGGCCAAAATATTCAGACACTCTCCTCTTCCCCCTCCTCCAGCTCTCGCCCTCCTTATTTGCCTTCCCCCTTCCTTTCGAGAATCATGAGCAAGGATAGCGAGGAGGAGCAGGAGGAGGGAGAGGAGAACGTGTGGGGCTTCTGGAGGCATTCGGTTGGTCCGAGGGGTGTGACGGGCTCTGGGAATGAGGAGAGAGGAAGAGGAGGGTTTCTAGGGACGCAGAGGATGCTCCCAGCTCGACTGAGTTAGGGTCGCCAAGGTCAAGGCTGTCAGAAGGAGGGGGGAGGAGCGGGGTCGGACGAGGGAACAGGAGGAGGCAATGGGGGGAGGATGAGGAGGAAAGGAGCTCGCTCGCTCTTCCTTCTCTTTCTTTTTCAGGGTGGCGGAGGAGCAGGAGGCGGAGAATGCAAGGGAGTTTCCCTGGAAAAATCCCAGCCACGAGTTGCAGAACGTCGGCGATGGCGGAACAACGGCGGCAGCGCTGGCGTCTGTCAGTGGCCCGCACCATTTTGGCAGCGAGGGCACATGTCCGCAGCACGGCCTGCCCAGCTTTTCCGTGCTTCGTCGAGTCGAGACCCTCGTTTTTGTCGCCATCACCACAGAATCGGTGATCCATGGCAAGCACGCCTGGCGCTGACGCTATTTGGCGCGTTCCAGAAAGGGCCTCGCCTTCACTGCGTCTCGCCGTCTGTGGGAGGCTGGCAGAAGCCAGCGGAAGAATAACGGTGGTAGCTCCGCTGGCGGAAGCCCGCGGATGGCGGTAGACACGTCAACAGATTGTTGGGTCCAGGATTTCCGGAGTAGACCAACTGGAGGGCGCGATTATCAACACCATCGTCTTCAGTATACCGTGAAGTTCACCCATCTCCGCACCCCCAGGATCAACCTAGCGCAGTGTCTGGAGTCTTGTTTGCTCATCCGCGCCCCAATTATACAAGGCTCCCGAGGAATAGTTTACGGCAGCTATTCTAGCATAGCCATCAGGAAAGAAAGAAAGAAAGCGCAGCTTGATTGGTTGAACCACTCAGCAGGTATATTTTCCGAAGCAGTGCTTGCACTCAAGGTTTCTCGTTTCTCTCACTGAAGAATTTCTTGGGTCCTACGAGGTTTCGCCACGCTGCTGCCCGTCGCCGCCTCGTGGCCGCCTCGTGCGCTGGGTGAGTCAGTCGAGGTTTCGCCACGTTGCCTCCCGTGGCCGCCTCGTGGCCGCCTCGTGCGCTGGCTGGGTCGGGCGAGGTTTCGCAACGTTGCCGCCCGTGGTCGCCTCGTGGTCGCCTCGTGCGCTGGGCGGATCCGGCGAAGCGAATTTTCGCCACATTGCCTGCTGTGACCGCCTCGTGGCCGCGGGTGGGTCCGGCGAGGTTTCGCCACGTTACCGCCTGTCATGAACGCCTCGTGGCCGCACCGTGTGCTGGGTAGGTCCGGCGAGGTTTCGCCACGTTGCTGCCCGTGGCCGCTTCGTGGCCGCCTCGTGCGTTAGGTGGGTCGGGAGAGGTTTCGCCACGTTGCCGCCCGTGGCCGCCTCGTGGGCGCACCATCGGAGTTCATAACATCCCAGCCACACGGGCATCGCCCACCCTCATCCCTGTCAAATAAAACTATACGCGCGCAGACGTGTACTTCAAACTATCTGGCTTCGAGAGTCCCTTGCAACACACTGGCACGAAATCCACACCCGCGCGCACACATGTCGAAATTACACCGAACACAGCAGGTCTGCAATAAGATCAACATACGGATTGAACATCGCTGTGGTTATCCGAGTACTAGTCTTGTAGATTTTCGGATCGCGCACATTATTTGAAATTGTATGGCAGCCATATGAGATCAAACATTCCGTCCATGATTCGCATTCCCATCTCACCACGCGGTGCCTCCGCGTTGATCTATCATGGGCCCAGCTCACGAATCCGCATCAAATCATATCTTGCGGACCATGCGCGCGCGCCGCCAAGCACACGTGTCGAAATCCTCCCACAGTCAGTTCTTGTTGACGTATTTCAATGTTCAGGTTTTCAGAACCATATGCAACACATTTTTTGCTGTTCAGCCACACGTCTAGTTATCAGGTTTCTTGCATTCCCGCGTGCGCACTTCCTCACCATCACCCTCATCAGCGCCACCGCATGACCGCCGTCATCGTCATCCTCAATCGCCGCCACTGCCGCCGTTCTCAGTCAAATCACGTTCATCGCGAGTACATGGACG